GATAAAACAAAAAAAATACATTTCACACGTACCAAAGCCCATATCGAACATGCGATCAGCTTCATCAAATACCAGGTAGGTCACTCGCTGCAGTGATGTAGCCTTCTTCTTCACATGATCGATCAGGCGACCCTACGTGAGAACAGCCTTTAAAAAAACAACCAAGGACCATCCTCACAAGTAAACAGAAACAGGTCAAACTGGGTTATGTAGCAAAAGATAGGATGTTCTTACTGGGGTGCAGACAACAATTTCGGCTCCTTCCTGTAATGCTTTGGCTTGTTCCCACATGCTGCCGCCTCCATATACTGCCACTGAGCGGAGGCCATATACCTTTCCGAAACGCTTGCATTCAGAATGGATCTGAACCACACAGATAAGCATTGTAAAGTGATTAAAGCCCAAAACACACTTCCAAAACTTGATTCATGACCAAGACTACATAAGAAAATAATTTAATCCTTTTGCCCAGCAATTATTTTTAATCTCCTTCCACCGATTCATCTTTTACACCTTTCCCTAACATAAAAGAGCCCTCCTTTCTTTCTCTCTGACCTGTTGACAGAGCTCTCTGGTGGGGCAGACGATCACAGCAATGGGTCCCTCTCCCTGCTCCAGCTCCTTCTGGTCCATGATGTGCACCAGCATTGGCCAAATGAAAGCTGCAGTCTTTCCACTGCCAGTTTTGGCAATACCAATCATGTCTCTGCCACTCAAAGCTATCGCAACACCCTAGTGAAACAACACACATTTCTGTAGAAAAACAAGCCAATACCTAAACAAAGAAATATACATTTGTGGGAGGGTTTGGCAGCTCACCTGACACTGGATGGGTGTGGGTTGAGTGTACTCGGATTTACGGATCTGGTGCATGAGCTGCTCGTCAAATCCAAAGTGAGCAAAACTGGTGGCTGGTTTAGGAGGCACTGCACCTGAAACCTGTTCATTTAGAATATGGGTTTATGTGGGTTGAAAGAAAGAAAGAAAGAGAATGATCATTTGTGAATGCACTTGTATGTGCTTCCACTGACCTTCAGGTTGAGTTTCATTCTCAGTTCCACCACTCCAGCCTCAGTCAGACTGCTGAGTTCCTCATGCTCAATATAGAAGTTCTTCTCAAAGGGAGGATAGTCAACCTACAGACAAAAGATTTAAAAACATAGTATTCAAGATTTGTACTTGCTTACATATTCTTTTGTTTTAATGTATATACACAAATTATTCTTGATATCAGCAATCAAATAAAGATGAAAGGGTTGTCAGAATTTTCTTTCTTTTGGCGACTGCATTTAAGCTTGAACATTTTAAAAAGTTGTGTTAATTTGTGAACATTATCTTAATGCACAAAATGTTAAGAATCAATCAATCATTTTTAATGGTCACAGAGCTTATTTTTTGCAATGATCCAAAAGACGATGAAAAAAATCCTATTAGCTTTTTATTATGCAAACTTCTGGGCTGGCCTACAAAATTATGCCATCCCTGCAACACTATTTAAGGGTGTTAATGCATCAATCACTGTAGGGAGATATAGTAACAGTCTCAACAGTACCTCTGAGTGGTCTATGGGGGGCAGTGGCATGATGATCTTTTTAATAGTAGGAGCAATGGGGTTCCCATCGCTGTCATAGTCCACTTCTTCCTCATCTTCCTCTTGGGTCAGCCCAGCTGTTGGGTTTTCCGCCATGTAACGAAAATATGCTTCCTGCAAAGAACACAAAACATGCTTTAGATCAAGACAAATAGCAGCTGGCCTTTACTGCTGAATATCTAAATGCTGCCCTGAACAGCATCAAAATTAACTAGTCTAATAAAATATGGCATGTTAAATAAATTACCCAGTATAACTAATTATTAAACAGTAAGTTCTGAAACCAACAATTCACTGAGCACTGAGGTGGTTAAAATTCATATTAATTGATCACTGCTATTTTAACACACAGCACTGACTCAAATCTCATGTTTCAGTCACAAAATAATCACTCTACCTGTTAACATTTAAAGACAATAGATAATAACTGAGAACCACTGAACTGGTTGAGAAAACAAGTCTGAAGATTGCATATAAAACCTTAAAAATAAGCGACAGATACCTACTCCATCACCAAAAGTACATTTGAATGGCTCAGTCTATAAACTGACGTAGATTTATAAAGAATATAAGAAAGAAAAATAGAAAGAGGAGTGGGGCACAGTCATTGCTGTGGCAAAGATACGATGGCGGTAGTAACGTCAAGAGGGTCACTCACTTGGTCATCCTCCTCTTCGATGTCATCCCGTATACCCCTGGAAGAAACAAGCGGAGAAAAAAAACTTCCCTGCGACTCGCTCAATCACCCAAAGAAACCCATATTCTACCCATAAACCCCCTTCTATTCCCATCCTCTCTGCTATTAATATTATTTGGATGAACGGTCTTAGAAAAAATCTGCGATAATAGCAGAATCTTACTTGGTCAACTTTTTCTCTTTTTCCTTTTCCTCAAGTTTCTTCATGTCCTTTGCTGCTTGGTCCTAAAGGAAGACAAAAACAAGAATTAAAGCAAAAGAGCAGCAATGTCCACTGCCGGTTCTCAAAGACATCAGTTTGGGAGCTCAGCTCTCACCTCCACCTCAGCCATAAAAGCATCAAGAGGGTCATCCTCACTGTCGGAACCTCCACCTCCTCCTCCTCCTCCTCCAGACTGGAACTGCTTTCTTGTGGGGGAGTTCTCGGCAGGAATATATGGCAGATCTGTACTGCTAGACTCCTCTTCATCATCCTCAAAATAACTATGGATAAAATAAATTTCAAGCATTAATTGCAAAAGCCTATTTCATGCACCTAAAATTCATGTACTTAACCTTAAAAGAGATATTAGTTATAATGACAGTCTTCTTGGGCACCTTTTACTTTCATTGTCTGAACAAAAGCAATAAAAGTGACTGAAACACATCTACTTTTGTGTTCCACATAAAAAAGGAAGTCAAATAGGTTTGGAACAACATGAGGGTGAGTAAATAATGTGATATGTTCTTTTTAGATTGAACTGCTTTTTTTGTATTCATTTGGGGGTGAACGGTCCCATTAGTATGTATTTGTTTTAGAAGAGGTCACATTTTAAGTACTTACGCATTCTCCTCGTCGAAATTGGCTCGTTTTGTTCCTATTTTGTAAAAAGACGAAAGCTGCTGATTCTTGCCATATCCACCTGATGGTCCTGAAGCTCCAAATGCAGAATGGGCCTTCTGGGGAAGACGAGGTTCCTCTTTATTCCCACTGGCAAGAGAGAATCCCCCGAATCCAAAGCCTCGCTTGCCACTCGGGCCTCCCTTGTTCCAGTTCATTGCTGTTGAGGTGCAAAACACAGCATAAGATTAGGGGTTCAAAACTGTTAGTTAAATGCTAGTTAATACGGCCTGCATAACATGTATATCCTCATCAGGCTACTGAAGCATAACAATAACAAAGTCTCATTGCTCGCGCACTGCTACTAATTATTACTCAGCAGCTTTGCTGTTTTTGCCATAGCTCACTCATTTTCAAGGGTTGGCTTTTTATAAATTTCTCTTAATATCTCAATATTTTCTGGCCAAACAGCAAGTAGGAGACACCATCTCGTAATGCTGCAATGATGGTCGTGGAGAGGCCTTGAGCGATGTGTATACGGATTATGCTTCGATTATTTTCACATTGGCATGCACCAAAGAGTAACATATGGATTTGTTTACATTCTGTTCATTTACCTGTTTCTGATAAGACGAAAAGAGCGATCTTCTAACGTGGGTGGACACTTTATTTATCCACAACGTTTTTACCACTTCAGGCTATCTCTCACACTTCTCGGAGATTGTGTTTTACGTAATTTACAATGGACTCGTTTTGTGTTTGGTAAAATTTGCGCGACGCGTTTGGTGGAGAACGTGGAATGCAATGTTGCCAGATCCCCATCTTTTCTCAGTGTAACAACAACAATAATAAATCTTATTTCATTATATGATACTCTCAGAATAATGTATGATACAAAGACACTGTCATGTTTCGTTTTAGTTTTAAATAATATGGTAATATTGTAAAATATTAGGGTACCGTGGGGGAAAGTGTCCCCCTTAAGGACTGTAATTTGTTTCTGTGAACAAAAGTTAATTGTGTCCAGAATAGTTATAATAGTTTTAAGTGACAATGACATAAATTATAAACAAAGTATGAAAAATGTACAGAGTTTTCATGTTAGTAAATTTTTAACAACAAAAAAAATGTTGGTTCCACAGGTGGGGTAAAATGTCCCCAGTCTGACAAAGCAATATGCTTTATACATTTACAGCAAAACCAGAGTATCGGCAGTTTTCACTTAAAATAAAAAAGAATATAATCAATTATGAATTACAAAATTATAATAGCCTAATTGAAAAATATTTTTAGCTGATGCTAACTGGATAGCTAATTAGCTATCTAATGCTAACTTGAGGTAAAAAAATGTAATATAAAGTCCAAATATTTTTTATTCAACTAACTAGTTAGAATACATTTGATGGAAAAACAAAGGATTTGATGTTCAGAACAGAGTAACTTACAAAAATAGTTACAACAACAAAAATGTATATTTTACTTCTACTTCTTTTTCTATTTATCAAGTGATTATTTGGGGGAAAGCAGTGGGGGCGTTTTTCCCCACTCTACCCTACATACATCAATGTATATTCCTTAAATCCCCTCCTCTGCTTATTATACTAAGACATAATAGAAACATTTATCAGAAGTCAGGAACTTTCATTGGTCTGCATAAAAAACATAAAAAGCCATTGATAAAAAAAAAAAGCTTAATTGCTAAATAAATAAATACAATTTTAAAAAGCATTTTCAGCACATATAATGATAAATCCCTCTTTATTGTGACCATGGCAGTGGGTGAGATATTTGACATTCTGACTGCAACCTGCCAACAGCTCGTGTTTAACAGAGATAATAAAAGAGATTTGGCAACACAGAACGCAGACTATTTTATTCGCTCACGAGTTTAGACCAATGGGGAGACACGCATCCAACCTTTTGTCCAATAGGAACAAGAAGACGCCGAGTCGTCAACGGCACTCGTCCAATCACGAAACGTTCCTTAACACGGGCCCAGCCCACTGCGAGGTGAAGAGACGTTACTTCCTGCAGTTCTGATGCTAGCTGAAAATTTGACGATATAGAAAATTAAGACCAACATAATTTATCAGTAGAGGGTGAGTTCAACGACTATATTGTATTACTACTTACACAAGCACACTGGACCTCCGTGCTCTGTTCATCATAAGTGAGGGATAATTCTATAGCTGCAAGGCTAACTGAAAGATACAGAGCTGTAAGCTGGCATTCCACATTTGTTTGTACATCAACAACTCTTCTTATTAAAAATAGCTGAGTTGTATTAGTAAATACACATCTTTCATGCTGCACACTAACTGAGCAAGCCCAAAGTGTTGTATTTTATTTACAAACGTATGCAGTAATAAAGACATAAATCTCTTGAATTCGAGCTCTGTTCTCTGGTACTGGCATAAGTTATAAGAATTCAGAAAGTATCAGAGCAGAAGAGAATAAATTGTTTTCTATTTCAAATGTTCTGAATCTGAATTTTTTTCCTTGTAGGTTTTTACTCTTTATGTGTTTGTGAAAGTATTGCTACCTGTGATCACCATCTCCAGGATCCATGTCTTTTTTGGTAAGTGAACTTTTTTGGTAAGTGAGTTAAATGACTTGGTTGTCAAAGTGATTTGCGTGTGCATTAAATCGCCACTACTTCTCACTTTTCTCAGCGTTGGGTGTCAGAGAAACTCAGTGTGGAAAGCCTGAGGGATCTGGAGTTATTTGGAGGTGAGTACAGTAGTCCAGCATCTCATGTCGCTGTGCTTCTTGTGGCTCTTTCAGCAAACCTCACCCGCCTGAGCTTTATTCCACATTAGCTGGGGTGAATGTGAAGGGGAGTCCTACTAGAACTGTAACACAATCATATTTAAAGATGTTTCTGCAACACTCAGTAGAACAATTGGCCCATCTTGAACTCGTCAAATAGAGTAGTACACATGTTTGGACACAAATCCCCCTCATAGTCAGCTATGCAGGCTCATAGCAAAAGAGGAGCTCTACATATGCGGATTACCCATGATCACAACCAGTCAGTACCATTGCAAAAGCAAAAATTCAGCATTTGGTTCGCTATTTGTTTTGCGTGTGCTTTATTAAAGATGTTGTGAATTTAACATGTTCAGTCTTTTTTAGTTTTTGTTGTAAATGTGTTATGCAGTGAGGGGAGACAATGCATTTGCGTCATGGTGACTACTGATGGCGGTCACAGCAGAGTCTGTGTGTCCTTGTTGTCTGTGAGGCTTTTTAATCTCTTCCTGTGGTGATGTATCTATGTGTAAGGCTGGCTGTGATGTAGTGTTATTGCTAGGTGTTGATGGATTGCTTCTGTGGTGCAACTGACAGCTGAGTCACTGCAAGAGGTGGACTGATCTGTATGAGAGGTCTAACACTGCTGAAGCTGTATGAAATCTCTACAGAGGAATACCACATGCACTTACAGATTGTGAGCTTTTACTTAAATTAGTTTACAGAGAAATCCAGATATTAAAATCATTTGATAGCTTTTTAGTTTTTGATGCCTGTTCTTTTGGGTAGTATTTGGCATCCATCTGTAATAATCCTTTTTTATCCATGTTTTCTCCCGGTTAGTTGTAATGCATAACAATTGAATATACACTATTGTTCAAAAGTTTGGGGTCAGTAAGATGGGGTTTTTTATTTTTAAAGAAGGGAATTAGTACTTCTATTCAATAAGGATGCATTAAATTGATAAAAAGTCAAATAAATGCCGTTCTATTCATCAAAATCCTAAAAAAGTATCACGGTTTCCACAAAAATACTAAAGCAGCACAACTGTTTTCATTAAGCACCAAATATTATAAGCATATTATTAAAAGGATTTCTGAAGGATCATTTGACCCTGAAGGCTGGCGTAATGATGCTGAAAATTCAGCCTTGCCATCACAGGAAAAAATACATTTTAAATTGTATTCAAATAGAAAAACAGCTATTTTAAAGTGTAATAATATTTCACAATATTACTGTTTTTACTGTATTTTTGATCAAATAAACACAACCTTGATGAGTATAAGAGACTTCATTCAAAAACTTTAAAAAAAAACATACTGACCTCAAATCTTTGAAACCTATTAAAAATCGTCTTTGTAGTGGTGCAAACAGTCATGTACACTGCAGTCGTGCAAACTGTCATGTAAATATGGAAAACATAATTTCAGACTTGTGTCATGTATAATTATACAGTTTCCATGCTCTTGCTGACATGAGTCTTGTTCAGGAGTGTTATTGTAATGCCTTGTAGCTTTGAAATATATTATAATATATATATATATATATATATATATTAAAAAAAGTCTATAGCCAGTGCCATGATAGTCTGAATGCTACATATTAACTAATATCAATAGGTTATTAATGTTTCCTGTCGCTAAGATGGTGTATAATCCATTAAGGGATTTTTTTAGATGTTGCTTTTTGTATATCTGCTTTGACTGATTTTGCTGTGGTCCATAATCGCTGCTCCATGTTTGCTTTTGGCTGTTATGTGTTCCATGGCAGTGCGCCAATAAAAAGGGTTGATAACCAAGCTTATGTTCAATAAAAAAAGTTAAAATAACTATGATATAAAAATAAGTCATTATTTAAAAAAATGTTTTTTTTTCCTGATGGTTTGTAATTTTGTTGTTGAATTAAATGCTCAAGTAATAAAAAATAGAATTTGTGCTTGCTTAAATGATTTTTATCAGTTAGTATGCAGTATGCTATGATATAGATTAGATTATGCATGGTATAAATTGACTAGACAATTAAAAGCATTTGACGGATACTTATATTTATGTTAGAGTTTTTCTTGCATTATGTTTCATTGTTTTTTTTTAGAGAACAGGAGAAATATTTAATAAATGGGTAACTACATATACAGTGGGTACGGAAAGTATTCAGACCCCCTTAAATTTTTCACTCTTTGTTATATTGCAGCCATTTGGTAAAATCATTTAAGTTAATTTTTTTTCCTCATTAATGTACACACAGCACCCATGTATTTTTATTGTATACAAAGTATCTATTTGAATTGTATTTAAAAAAAAAAAAAAAAAAAAGGATTAATCTGCATGGAGGATGTAGAAAGTATTGCTTGGAAGGATGCTGGCTCTCAGAACACTAAATGAGGTGTTTCTTATATTTGTGAGAACCACTTTAAAGGCAGATTGTTTGTTTGTATGTGTGTCTTTTGCGTCATTTACACGGTTTCTCCACACCAGAACAAACTCAGGCAAGCCCACTAAGGAAAGTAAGTGTGGAATATCTTCCAGCTTTTCCATCTGCCTGTTGGTGTGGGTGTGTGATAGTTGTGAGTGTATGAGCATATGAGATGGCGTGTGCTTGTGTAAGTTTGCAAATGTAAGGTTAATGCTGTGTGTGTGTGTGTGCTCTCAGATGAATACATCCCCCTGTGCTCCTGTGTTTGCCTGCATGCACTTGTCGTGCTGCTGTGACACTCACACCTCCACACTCGCTCAGACTGAGGCTCCAGAAGAGGGAAATGCTCGTATTTTAAGTTGGGAAAAAAAGATGAAGTTTCCCAGTAATGTAATACTTCTATCATAATTAAGAGCCTAAATTAAATATTCATGTTAAAGAACAGGTACTGTACAATAGATATGAGGGCTAGTTCACCCAAAAATTCACTATAAGATTCGGCCATTATGGTTCCAAAGTGTGGCATCAGACTATTTTCGTAAGCATAAGTGCATTTAGACAATTTTAATGATATATAAATTATTTAGTAATATTAAAAAATTTCAGTTAAAACGAATTTAATAGTCTAATTAACTTGCAAAAACGAACTTGGTAAATGCAAAAGAGTTGGTAAATGCATAAATTATATTTCCATTCAAAACTGTTCATTTCCATTATTTCCATTCAGCTGTTCATTTGCGTTGAAACTCAGAACTGTTCATGAGAATGGGATTTTATATATTAGAAAATGTTTTAGTAAAATATGTTTATTTAATGCATATGAATTAGGGCTGCACGATTAATCGAATGCGATTGTCATGCGTATCTTGTCAGTAAAGCCAGTTCTGTGATTAGTAGTAAATCTCCATCACGTGCTTTCAGATGGAACAGCATTTACTACACAGAGCCATAGATCACTGATAAGCTACGCAAACAGCTTTCATAATCGCAGACGATTTAATTGCGTGATTATGAAATAGAAGAAATCGTTCTGCGATTATGAAAGCTGTTTGCGTAGCTTGTCAGTGAACTACGGCTCTGTGTAGTAAATGCTGTTCCATCTGAAAGCACGTGAAAATACCTCATTTAATAACGTGTTTTTACTCCAAACTCAATTCATAACGTCTGTCGAGTGAAATAAATCCTTCTGTGAGATGATGTGGTTTCTTACACAGAATAAGGCACGCAGCATATTTCATTGTATTCTAAGCAGTAATAAAGGCTATGTCGATTAGCATTGCATTATTATATACTTTGTAGCGAATCAGCTCATGGGGAAATATGAACAATTAATCATAACTAGTTATAATTAATTATAAATATTTAGATCCGCTGTAGATATTTACTTGACCTCTCAGGGTCAACTGTCTGTCAATTCTGAGAACGTTAATTTCCCGGTTAAGGGAAATAACTTTCTTACTGTACAACTCTACACATAGCCTGTAGCATAAATCTGCATGATTAGGGACTCCAGTTATGATCCTTCTGTGAGATGATGTGGTTTCTTACACAGAATAAGGCACGCAGCATATTTCATTGTATTCTAAGCAGTAATAAAGGCTATGTCGATTAGCATTGCATTATTATATACTTTGTAGCGAATCAGCTCATGGGGAAATATGAACAATTAATCATAACTAGTTATAATTAATTATAAATATTTAGATCCGCTGTAGATATTTACTTGACCTCTCAGGGTCAACTGTCTGTCAATTCTGAGAACGTTAATTTCCCGGTTAAGGGAAATAACTTTCTTACTGTACAACTCTACACATAGCCTGTAGCATAAATCTGCATGATTAGGGACTCCAGTTATGAGCAAACAATGAACAACGTCAAGTGTGATACAAGTAAGACTTTATTAACTACATAAACACTTAAACTAGTCTAACATACACATACAGTATATATATACACACACACACAGTTGGTATAGGAAAGGGTTAACGCTTAAGCAGTAAAGAGGAGAGAAATAAGGAATGAAGTTATGGAACCATTTGCATATTCAGCAGATCTACACCTGAGGGGTCTTGGTGAATGGTAAAGTCAAGGCCGAAGCCTGGCACGTACTTGGGGTGTCCTGGAGCGTTTGCTCACATCTTCATCTTCTCAGAGTTCAACCAAACCACAGACTCTGGGCGGGTCACTGATGTGAGGCCTTTAAGGTCTGAGAAGATTCACGCCTCTCAAGATGGGCTTGAGAAAGGCCGAAATCCCAAGTGGGAGTTTGGAGATACTGGGGAGTTTTTATAACCCTTTGTGTGGAAGCATGGTAATTTGCATATGGAACTTGAATCGAAATTACTAAAGATTCTCAGAACACTAATATATTGCCTATGTACCCACATATAATATACACGCTCATTTAGATCATCAGAAGGTGAGTTCATAGATACTAAACATGGTAGGATTACATATAGGTAAGATGACTGGAATGAGTGGTTCCATCATAAGCCTGCATAAAACAGTATAAAAATATCAAAGACAACATACACAATGACCCGAAGGATATGTGTGTTCATTCAAAGAAAGGTTTTCCTATGGATTAATTAGAGAAGAGTCTACCATGCATTGTGTCTCTTCCTATGAAAAAGGTAGTGATTTTCTCTACTTCGCATTCCTTTGGGCAATAAACCCAGAGATATCAGCGCTGGTTGCCATGGAACCATAGGCCTGTTCTGCCCTCCTGAAGTGTTACGCATTTCGGGGGAAGGGTCCATAGGTCCTCATATGGCTTGTTAACTGAGGGGGGTTACAGAGTATTTGTTAAATATAGCTAACAAAATATATATTGTGTGTTTGATTGGTCCAGATGCTACACTTTATTATAATAAAAATTATAATAAGACGAACTCCGATAAACCATATATTGTCATAGTCATGTGATTGTTGAATTAATGGATGCAGTTAAATCTTCTGTTTATTCAGCAACTGCTATAGGGATTTCCTGGGTTTCTTCTGCCAGGTGTATTTGGAGTTTCCGCACGAGAGCGCCCTCTGGCCTTCAGATGGAGATCACAGAAACGTGCTTCACTGAAAGATATGCATGACAATCGCAGCTTCTGCCTAATCACGATTTATCGCCTTTGCGACTTAATTTCGATTAATCGTGCAGCCCTAATATGAATGAAAATGGGGAAATATCCTTCTTCCTTGTGTTCATTTATTGAAAAACTATGGAAATCATAAGGTACACAACAATACAGTTAGCCCACGGTTCAATGCATACCTGTTTTTTTAACCATGGTGTTCGGTTCGGTTCGGTTTCACTTGGCAAAGTTATTTAGCGATTTTTTTTTTTTAAACTAAATGTATATATATAATAAACACCAGGTTTGTTGTGAGTGTTTGTGGGGCTGTACGATTTGGCCCAAAATGTTGTGCTTGTATATTAATATGACTAATCATAATTATTAAGATTATTATTATTATTGCTAAATAAAAATATTAAACAAAATAATAAATATTACTATTGTAATAACACTTATTATTAACACATTATTTAAAAAAAGAAAAAGAGTAACTGTGCGTTCACACCGCCGGCGGCGAGAGCGTCAAAAGATCGCTCTGGCCGCGCTACCCACAACGCTGACCACCGGCGGCGAGAGCGTCAAAATTCGCTCTGGCTGCCCTGTAGACGCTCCACGATCGGTCTTTATTTAAAGGGGCCGCAAACATACCAAACAAGCGTTCTGATCTTGTGCAGACTTACCACAAAAAGGGTATAACCTTATGATATATCTTAAATGTACGCCGCTCCTCGCCGCCTTTCACCGCCCGCTCACATTGAAAATGAATGTCTTCCGGTCACTTTGACGCTCTCGCCGCCGGCGGTGTGAACGCGCAGTAAGACTCCTGTTAAGACTGTTAAAAAAAACATGGATTATCATGTGTCTACTTCAAATTTCTTTTGAGAGAAGTATTATTTTTTGCTATTTTTACCCAAAATAGGATGGATTGGCCATCATTGAGCACTGTAAACACATGTAATGTCTGTTTCATTCATACTGGAAACCGGAGGGGGACTTCCTGCAGAAACTCCACATATGCATCACAGAAGTAATAGAAAATCCAGAAATTCCTAATATGGACAAAGACATCCATCTATCGTTGTAGCTGAAAAAAAGAAGATAGAAACTTTTTGAATGATGAAACATGAAGACAATAAACACTGAACTGTGACAATATATCGTTTATCTGTGTTCTTCAAGCCATCTTGGGTATTTTCATAATAATTATTTGTATATTAGTATATTTATATATTATATTATATTTATATATTTTAGTATATAATTAGTATATTTATAATCCGTTGCTAATCAACATAGCCTTTTTTACAGTATAGAATATATTTTCTTGTCTTATTCTGTGATAAGAAGCCACATCAGATCACAAAAAAAGAGTTTTTATTTTATACACTTGACTGATGTTGTGGAGTAAAACATGTTATATTGTTCTCTTTTTTTGGACAACAGGTTTAGAAACGCTTCTCATTACAAGTCTTTACAAGGGAAGATTTTTGGCGTGTGTTACTTTTTCAAATGCACGTTATAAGCGGAAATTATTTATTTATTGAACAAAACCACAATGCACAAGCCCGTGTTGAACTGTCGATGTCGTACCAAATGGCTTGATATTATATTGAGATTTGTGGCATCCCTAGAAAGCATACAGTGGGGAAAAAAAGTATTTAGTCAGCCACCAATTGTGCAAGTTCTCCCACTTAAAAAGATGAGAGAGGCCTGTAATTTTCATCATAGGTATACCTCAACTATGAGGGACAAAACTAGATTCACATTTCACAATGTATTTTACTTTTTGCATTAAATGTTTGAATAGAAATCTTTTGTAACATTATAAATATCCTTACTGTCACTTTTGGTAAATGTAATTTGCTGTTACTGAACAAAAGTATAATTTTCTTTAAAAAATAAATCAATCAATCAAAATTAAAAGTTTCAGCAATCATGTGGTAGCCTAAAGGATAACACCGTTTGCATTCTTGGGTGAGCTGTCCCTCTAAGGACATAAGTTAATGGAATGCTTCTTTATTTAATGATGATTAGCCAGTCTGATTCAACAGATAATTAAGAACGTAAAGGGTTAGTCTGTGATTTGTGTATTGGTGTTTACTGTTAATGCCCTCTCACCTCAAAGACAGACACTTGGTCTGCAGAGTGAATCAGTGAGACTAATTTTGCATTACCCCTCATTGATGAAATTGCTTCATAAGAGTTGTCACAAAGAACGAACCAACACCAGGAATAATGGTGATGTTGTTGTTGGTCGCCTAAGCATGTGAAGTGGGATGATGCTCATTGTGTTAATGCAACACATGGAGTCATCCTGTCAGAGTCTGGGCTTGCCGCACTGTTCACTAAAGTAGTCCTGCAAACATTCAAAGGGCATAAAATGATTTGTTTTATGAATTGCCATAGACCTGCATGATCTCCACTGATGGATACTCTCATCGTATGTGTGAGGATTTACTATTCTTATTGTAAGTTCTATGGCGAATGGAAACTTTAATGTTAGTAAAAAAAAAAGTATTTGATCTTTATGGGATCATGCACATCTATAACTAAATGCGACAGTGAATTGTAGTTTATTTGATGCTTATAACATGCTTTTGCAAATACGCAGTTTTGTGAAGCCTTTCCTGCTGCAGTTTTCAAATTCTCTGTCTCGTACTGAGTCTCAGAACAGTTGGACTGAATCTTTAATCAGCCATAATCTGCCGTTCCTCACTAATTGATCTGTATGATTCTCTGAAGAGCTTTGCAATGGCTGGGATTTATCAGTGTATGCGCAATAAAAAAAACCTTCCCCTCTTCAAAACCAGGTTGGTTTGTGCTGTTATCACAACAGTGGCATCAGTGTCTGTGATTGTATATGTGTGTAATCTTGAAATGTTTCCTAATTCACTCAAACTGACGTTGATGGTCATAGTATATTTGGTTGATATCCCAAAATACTATGATGCATTTGAAGGAAAGCTAACATGCACTTAAAATTTTTGCTACGCAAACACTGCTTGCATAGTGACACCAGTCCTGTTAGAAATGCTAAAAGTTGATGCTTTAATCACATTCAAATGACAAATCAAGCATTTATGTTTCCCTATATTATTTTCCAAACTCCCTACAATATCTTTGAATGTACAGTGAGTCAAAAAAGTATTTGGACACTTAAATTGTGCTTAATGTCTTTAAATTTTTTTTTTAATTTGAAACAAAATATCAAACAAAGTAGTATCTGCAAACAAATAAAGCTTAAAAAAACTCTATCTTGCTGTGACTTTCAAACAAATGGTCCTAAGGTAATTGTATTGAATCTACAAAATTCACACAGGCACACCAGTAGGGGAACCGCAGATGTACACTAAAGTTTTCAAGTTTAACAAGTCTCTTTATGTTCACCAAGGCTGCATTTATTTGATCAAAAGAGTAAAAACAGTAATATTGTGAAAAATTATTAGTTTAAAATAACTTCTATATTTTGAAATTGATGGCAAAGCTGAATTTTCAGCATCATTACTCCAGTCTTCAGTGTCACATGATCCATCAGAAATCATTCTAATATGCTGATTTGCTGCTCAAGAAACATTTCCTATTATTATAAAAAAATTATTTTTGGAAATGTTCTTTTCAGGAATTTTTCAGAATAAAATAAGAACAACATTTATTTGGAAAATAAATCTTTTGTAAAATTAGAAATGTCTTTGTCACTCTCAATCAATGTGAGGTGTCCTCGCTAAATAAAAGTATTAATTTCTTTCTATCTTTCTTTTTCTTTCTTATTTTAATCTTAACGGCCCTTATGAACGGAATTATAGTTCATCCACCATAGATCAGGCAATTAATCACATTCCACTAATGTTTGACCACCAGAAAATTGTCAAAGTATGTTTTGTCTTCATTTTGAATAGTCTATCAATTGATTTACAGTATCTTTTAAAAGCTAACAAGCTTCTTTTCATGAAATGTTTTGCTTGGAAATGTAAATAAGCACATTTCTTTAAGATGACATTTGATTTGATATTTGGTCATTTAATGTAATGACATTTAATACATTTCAAATGATTGTTATTATGTAATTATGATTTCACACGTGTGAATTAAGTGTTGAAATAGTTTTGAAAAGTGTTGAAATACTTTGCTCACTGTATGACTGAGTACCCACAAACCACTTTCACAAATGCACCTCCATTAAAATCACAGGGTTCACAACCTAATAATTTAAGTATGTTAAAAGGTTTTGATTGTGTTGAATAGGCAGTCAAAATGTTCTGGGACCTGAGGTGTGTCTCAATCTGCTCCCTAGTGTCTAAGTATTTGGTAGATTACAGCCTGAGTTTAAGTTCACAATATTCTCTCTGACATCAAGAAGTTGATCGAGACACAGCCGTGGTCAGTTTGCACTTTGTTGGCGTGTTTCCACATTTGACTAATGACTGTTTTTTTGGCTCAGGCCCATGAGGACAGTCAAGAGTCTCTGAGCCCTCTCCCACACAGAGACACCATGGGAAGCTTTCTTCCAGACAACAGCGCCTATGAGTTGCGTACTGTCATAGGTGAGGCCAAGGCTGCACAGCACTAGAACACACATCTCTGCGAGGAGCGTCTGTGTTTCCTCCAGCTGATGAGTGTGTGTCTGTCTCTGCTTGTGTAGGTCGAGGTTTGGAGGACTTGATGACAGTGAATCTGGCCAGGTACAAACCCACAGGGGAGTATGTGGCCATCCGGTGCATTGACCTGGATTCCTGTACCAATGACATGGTCAGTTACTTACAGGTCAGTTACAGGCTTCTCTCACGACATATAGGGGATGGACAATTCATATGAAAATGTAATTTTATTTATA